TAACAACCAGCTCCTATTGAGACGCAGTCATCACCTACATGAAGAATTAAAACCCAAGGTCAGGCTGATTTTTTGAGAGATTGGAGAGTGGAGAAAGACATGTTGAATTGGAAGCTGCTTTTGTGTAATTACCATTGGAGATTAGTGAATTGTACAGTTTCACATTGTTTGTGTTCTCTATGTGAATTCCATCTGTGTTGGGACTCAAAGCAGGTGCTTTTATGGTAAGTGATTCTATGTGGACGTTTTGACAGTTATCGAACCGAAAATGAAACTGGGGGCTGTTCTTAACTTTGAGTCCTTGCACTCGCAAATTGGAGCTCATGAAAAATCTTATGGCCTGCGACAGAAAATTAATCTGTAAGCAGAACATTTCAAGCAACATTGATTAAAGCTCACTTCAGAAATAGCAATAGTTCAAAAGAATTTTGACTGCCGGTGTGACTTACAACTGGGCTATCACAAGGGCCAGGCTGCGTTGTTCCATTAATTCCCTGGTCCATTACATATAATAGAAAGAGTAAGAAAGTTGTATAAAAGTACTTTCAATTAAATTTTTTAAGAGAAATATCAAATTTAGGGATTTGGCTATAATTCTATAAAAATTTAGAGTAGAAATATTACTTGTATTACAAAAAAAAATTGGGAGAATTTAACAATTCCCCATTAACTTATGACATTTTTTCAGTTTTTCCTATCAACTTTGAGTTAAATTATGAGCCCTTAATATTAATTTGCTCCCCAATATCAAATTTATCACATTTTTGTTTTTTCCCCCTCTTGAATGGACAAAAATATCCTTTTAATTTGAAGGAAAATTGACAGATTTGGTGGTACTACAGGGAAATTGGCATGTTGTCAAATATAAGGAAATGAGTTTTTCCCCAAATGTCAACTTTATCACATATATATTATTTTTCCTTTTGGATGGACGAAAGCAACCCTTGATTTGTAGTTAAAAAATTGAAGAATTTGGTGATAGGGTTTAATTAGTTGACAAGTTTTGAAAGTCTATAGGATTCAAAACCAAATTGGAAGTTCAGGGACAAATTGGACTAAGGTACTAAATTCATGAGGCTATTGTTAAATTTTCCCAAACTGGTGATTGTAAAGAGGAAAAAGTGCTTACTTTGTGGGGTTTACAAGGAAGATCCCACCATTTCTCTCCTCTCCCATCTATTACACCACCCCCTTGCATTGACATTCCATTGATTCTGTAGAAAACCAGCCACTGTCTCTTGCTGTTCTTTTTTGGCCATGAATCAGGTCCATCTGGTGGCACTAATGTTCCATCAATCTTCACGAGAACAAAAAAAAGATAAAAATTCTCATCAGAATTTGGTTAAGGTAGAATTGAAGTAAAAAATTGTCATCCAAAATTTCTCTATGAGATAATATGGTATAATTTTGAACTTTAGCAGGAGAGCCACATTACCTGAAATTTGAGGCCAGAACTACATGGCCCTGTGAAGATTGTGGACTGTATCATAAAGGAATGACCTTTAGGAACAAGAACTTCTGAATCTTCAGTTTGACAAGCACTATCCCAAGCCATTTTGAATGCTTGTGTGTCATCAGCAACACCGTCTCCAACGGCACCAAAAGATCTCACATTGAAAACAGTATTACCATGAACAGAAATAGCATTGTAACTTGGGCTAGCAGCTTGAGGTGAAGGAGAAGGTGGCAATGAAATCTGAGATATCGGGTTCAAATCCTTATCATATCTAGTGTTAGGACTTTGAAGTCTGCCGTGTGTGGGAGGAAAGAAGAAACAAAAAGAGAAAAAGCAAATTAGGATCACACGAACCCTAGCAAATATCATGCTCAACATATGGAGCCCTTCACTTAGATGCATGTGGAGCAAATGGAATGAAAGAATTTTAAGCTACTTATAGAACAGAAGTGCTTCTATTGTACCTAGTGTTAGTAGGCCTTAACTTTCAGTAGCTGTAGCCAAATTCATACTTTTGAAATTCAAAGAATGCAACTGGGATTTTTCACACATAATTTGTCATTTCATCGGCTAGGCATTGTAGGGGTTTAAATAGGGTTATAGAAGGAAGGTACCCACGATCTTAGGCAGTTGAAAGAGTTAAACCGCTGTGTATGTGACCACTTCGAGCACCAGAACAACTTGCAAGAGATAACACTATAAGACTACTGATGTGGGAGAGGAAGACTTGCCTACACCCAAGATGCTGGTATCCAAATCAATCACGCATTGCTTGGTGAGAAAGTTTAACACATAACAATGTGTGATTGGTGTGGAATTAATACTTCTACATTGACATCACGGGAAATATGAGCTATTATTTTTGTTTTTCAATTTTATCTAGCACGTGTGGTTCAGTGACTGACTTGTCTTAGGAGTTGTTAAGGTGGGCTAATGGATGTAATTCATACAAATTAGCATCATAAATTTCATTAATCCCAATTTTGCACTGACTACAGCTTACAGTGTAAGGATGACTCCGACCTTGATCCCAGTGCAGGTAAGTTTCTCTCCAATCTTGAGATGAGGGGTAATTTACAAGAGTGATGATAAGTTTGGAGTGCAAGTAGGTCACTTTCATACTAGGAATTAGTGGGAGGCTACTTTTGAAGGTTGGTCCATGCCCTAGCTAACACACTGCCATAATGTTGTGAGACCGACCAGTTCCATTTAGAGCTAGCTTCGGCTTTTTGGGCAAGAATGTGGAGGAGTCTGCATGCGAGGAGCTATAGCCGGCCAATGACAAAAAAAGCTGGGTGGGTTAAAATTTGAAGAGATTTTGAATGATTACATGCACCCATTTCACACAATAAAAGTTATTGCTTTAGGATATTTAAAGGATCCCATTGTGGTATTTCCATGATTATATTCACACATTTCATCAGATTCCAACGGCAGTTTGTTGCTGTTGGACGAGAAATTTATGGCATGATGCAAAGAGTGGCCAATTGGCCATTTTCGGAAGGTCTTGTTATATTCCTTATAAATTTATAGGGTTTGCAGTCTTGAACCAGACAGGAACAATTAAATATTATTCTTTAAGGTTTTATTATGGAGTAGCAGAAAGCAAATTATTTCATGCTTTGAAGTAACTCAACCTGCTCACCAATAGTAGCTTCTGGCTTCTGGCTGGTGAGGCTTCTTTTGTGGACACTTCTTTACGTCCACGTTCTCTCTTGTCGGCCTGAAACAGGAATTACTGACGATCCCATAAGTACAGCAAAAATTGTTGGATTTATCCAATATAAATCAACATTTAAGTGGTCTACTACCTGTGTAATAGGAATGTAATATTGGAGAGTGATGTTGATTGTGATTTGAACTCTTAAAGATATCAATCCTATATAAAGTGTCTTATGTTGGAAATCGGATTAATGGAATCCTTAATTGAATATGATTATGATACTTGACTTGGACGCTAAGAAAGTAAGTTTAGGTTTCCTTTATGGATGGAAACCCTTATTTTTAGCTTATATAAAACATTGGTCCCTATAAGCATTAGAACACACAACATAATGCTTCCCATAGAGTTGTTGTATCCGGCTAGGTGTTTATAGAAGATCTTGGTGTTGCCATGTGCTACTTGTATTGTGTTCGACTTCCATGGCTGTTGTTGGAATCAGGTCAGTCACTCATTTGTTTGTGTTTTAATTGTATAACCTTATAAGGCTAACAAAAATTTCATGAAAATAGGTTTCATGATGATTTTGTAGACTCTGTAAAACGAATTAAAAATCGAGAGTTATAACTAACAGTTTTTAGTCAATTCTGCATTAAATAATAATCATAAAACCTATTTTTGACAATTATAAAAGCTTCTTAAAATTCATGTAGGACATTCCTGAGATTTTTTTGCCGATTTAACTCTGTGCTAGTTCCATTCTAGGCCTTACTAATTTTTTATAATGATTTTAATATTTCAAGCTAAAAGTTTCAACAAAAAACTTACTTATATTACTCAATAAATGATAAAACTACTGCTTCTAAATGGCTTATTTATTACATTTTACACCCAGTGCAATCAAAAGGTTTTACAAATACTTAACAATCACATTATTCTGAAAAAAAATCCGTTACTTCCAAATTTAAGTTGGTCATTAATTGATACAACCTATTTTCATGGAATTATCGATGCACTACAAGCTCATGCAGAATATTTGAAGTTGCTCAGGTCGACTAAACTCCATTCTGGATAGGTACTCGCCAGCTAGTGTTATTTCTATTGATTGTCTTTTTTCCAACTTAAAAATTCTATAAGCCTATCAATAAATGGTAAGAGCGTTTTAAATCTACTGACTAATAAAATTTTATACTAGGACACAAAATATACTTCGGATTGAAAACTCATTATTATATTAACGTACATATTAGATATGGGTTATGGTAATTGGTCAGTGCATGATGTTTGCTCTTTTATATCTGAGCTCGAATCACCTCTAAAGTAGTATAGAAATTCAAAGATGTCACATAGTAATAATAAGGGGTGTGCTATTGACACCTCTTTTTACTTCTCACACACTATTTGTTAATTTCTGCCCTTTAATCTTCTTTAATTCAGTCGATTCGACGGCCACAAATTAAAGAGGGTATGTATGAAGTAAAAATAAGTGTGTGGATAGCACACCCCTAATAATAATATCTAGTAATACATTAGTTGGTGATAAAGATCTGTTTGTTTGTTTAGAAAAAGTAGGAAAGCAAAGGAGAATCAATTGATTTATGCGCTTATATATCAATGTTATTCAAACTATTGTTAAGTTCAATTGCTAAGATAAATGATTATGAACCACTACATCCTTATCTTTGCTATTGTTCCTGAAAAAAAGGCTGAGAGAGATGGGTAATGGTACACAAACCACTTTTACTGAATATTGTAGACCGACAGCATCACTAATAAAGGTAGGATATTTCACTTCTACACTTCTATTAGAGACGTGTCTACATGATTTTATTGGAGACTTACATTACAGATTCTAATCCGAAATCCCTCACATAATCACATTTACTAAAAACATGACCTATCCACCTCATTTTCCAGCCCTTTGGGGTAACCTGTCATCAAACATGGAACCCGTGGAGTGGAAAATGCATCCTTAGTACCAAAAGCTTGCGAGCAAAATGGATCCAAGTGAGTCCCTCCTTGAGCAGGAAGCAAGTGTATTCCCGACAGGGTCAGATTTTTGCATGGCAGTGAATCGCTGCAAGCAAGATGTATCGGAGGCTTTCTACTGTCATACGTGCCCATTATGTTTGAGAAGTGAACACTGTCAATCAATACTGCAGAAGTTTGGTTGGAGCATTGTTTCTTGAGGCAGTAAAACTGGTTTATGATAATGGGGTTTAAAACTGTGTCCATGTGAATGTCCTTGAAGGTTACTTTAGATACCATGCCGGAGCCGCCTTGCCATGTTTTGATCCGAACACCGTTGTCGGAATTCTTGATGATTGAGTCACTCACTGTGATGTTTGTAACACAGGCTTGTGAGTTTCCTTCGCCAAGACTACCTATGCTGCAAAGATAAACAGAATATTTAGTTATGTCAAGATATATAATTTGGGAAATATCCTCTCATCAGACTTTTGTTGTTAAGTTGTGAATTTAAACATACACATTCTGATATCAATCATCCTAAGATTCAATGGTCTAATACCTTATTCCGTGACTTGGACCACACGTCATGTAGCTTATATCCACGTTATAGCAGCCCGTTCCAATCGAGACGCAATCATCGCCTGCATATGAAATTGAGGTAGAGAAGAATGAGCCTTCAAATAATTAAAATTCTGCTTCGTTAGGATAGAAATGTAGGAGTTATGCACACGCACGAGAAAGCACAATCAACTAGATTATAGTTTAGTCGTATTTTTCATTTCAATGTTAAAAAATGTGCGAGTTGTAAATAATTACCCGTGGAAATGGTTGAATGGTGTATTTCGGCATTGGTTGTGTCCTCTATGTGGATTCCATCTGTGTTGGGACTGTCTTCAGGTGAAATTATGCTAATGCTTTCGACACTGACATGTTCACAACTATCAAAACGAATATGAATCTTGGGGCTGTTCTCAAGCCTAAGTCCTCGAACAAACAAATCTGACCCTTTTGAGAACCTTATGATCTGCATGCATTATAAGATTCAAATATACAATTATTAGCAATGGTTGCTTGAATATTTGATTTTTACTAAGGTTTTAATAACATAAAGAGGGCTATTTTCAACTGTTAAATCGTGATAATAAATTTCTGTGGTGAGCACTTACAGATGGGCTATCACAAGAACCCTTTCCTCCCTGTTCCAACATTGACACAAAATTAATATCATCAGCAGGCATGTAGTTCTAAGATTAAATATATAATTATCAGAAGAAAAAAAAAATAAATAAATGAGAAACTTTTTTAAAAAGCCAATTCTAAACTACTTGTTTGTTTGTACAAGAAGAGAGTTCAAATTCGAGTGTTACACATTGACCTAACCAACCGGCCAAAAACACTTAATTAATTATTGATATCATCATACCTTGTGAGGCTTGCAGGGGAGGTCCCACCATTTCTCTCCTTTCCCATTTAAAAGACCATTCCCTTGCATTAGCATTCTATGGACTTCTTTGAAGAGCAGCCAGTCTTGCCTCTTGGTGTTTGGGGGCCATTGATCGGGTCCATCCGGAGGCATAAGGGTTCCCTCAATCTGATCTCATCCATTAATTACCATATAAACATACAAATAATTACAACTAAACAACTTGTAACATGATAATTAATTACTAAAATTACCTGAAACACAAGCCTAGATTTGCAAGGCCCCTCAAAAACGATAGGTTGAATCAAGAAGGATAAATTGTTAGGAACAAGAAACATGACAGCAGTGCTAATTTCAGCTTGGCAAACAGCATTCCAAGTGTCCTTGAATGCTTCAGTGTCATCTTTGACACCATTCCCCTGAGCACCGAAGTCCAACACATTAAAAACCCGCAACTTGTAAGGATTCTCAAGGTAATCTGGAGGTGGAGATTCTGGTATTTGAACCGATGGACTCTTAGGGTAGACGGATGGGGAGGAATATGGCGGCCATATTTTCGGTACATGGTATGATGGCCATGGCCAATTTAATATCCGAGATGTTCTGTGCAAATCTTTGTGTTTTATATGTTGTTTTTGAAAGAAAACAATGACAAACACTAAAAGCACAACAAAAAGCAGCTTGAAGAAACGAGAGAGCTTCATCATGCTTTGAGCTTAAAAATTAGGGTTTAGTGAGGTGTGCCCTATTCAAATTTCTTTGTGCGTGACAAATTATAGAACAAATTGTTAGATCTGTTTACTATGTAGAAGCCAAGTTTGCTGCCTTTGGCATTGAATAAAATTAGAACAGAAAAGGATTCATATTCGGCTAAAAGACATACCAATTTCTAAGATGCAAAAAGAGTTAACTGAAATTCAAACAGCAGCAAAATAAAGAAGACAAAAAAAAACAAAACCCTAAAAAAAAGTCTGGAGAATTTCTGTAGATGCTGGCTCAAATCAGAATCAATTGCGACCCTTTTGTGAAGTTAAGACACTGTGAGTCTGTGACCACTACTCTTGACACTACTTAGACGGTTAAACTAAATACCTTCACTTGAAATATATATCCCCTCTTTTCCTACTTGCACGGTACGTGTTACGTGAGTCTTGAGAGTTTTTCTCCTACTTTTACACTGAATTTTTATTATTATTCAATTTCTAACAGCTCTTCTTTATTTTATTTTATTTCTTTTATTAATGGTATTAAGAGGTATTTGACCCTATTCATTAATTTGCATAAGAGTAATGTTACACTTATCACATTTTTTATATTACGAATTGTTATTAGCACTCCAAAAATCTCATTCTACACTCCTCACAAGTGTATTTTTCTTTCTAATAATAGAAAGTTTGGAGTGCCAAATGAGATTTTTGGAGTACTAATAACAATTCCCTACATGTATAGCACATTTCTAATGGAGATAGCACCCATCAAAGCATCAACACATGTGAGTCTCATATTTATTAGAAAAATAATACAAATATAATATGAAAATATGGTAAAAGTAATATTTTTGTTTGCATAGTAACTTTTCCTATCAATGGTACCCTTCTGCATATTAAATTGTAATTTTTTCTTTGAATGGCACCCTTTTGCATATTAAATTGTCTTTTTTGTTTGTATTTTTTTTCCTACAACTTGTTTGTTTGTGTGTTTATGTTAATTTTTCAGTTATGCAGTCCCATAATTCATGGCCTACATTTCTTTCATTTACTGCCTTAGAGCATTTTCAATGAAGAGATGCAAATTTGAGATACAAAAATTATATTTACATGTTAATTATTTTACACTTTCAAAAGATGCTAAGATTTCTAATCCAATAAGAGAGATGTAAATTTAAGATTCTATTTAATTTTCTGACTTTGATTTACAAAGCCCCCCACCAATAGATGTAAAAAAATATGTATATTTTAGGTTTTTGTTTACAATTTCTGACTAAGATGTATATTTTACATCTCTCTATTCGAAGGTTTAGGCCAACACAAATAGCAAAATACACATTCCAAGGCATTTTGCATCTTCCATTAAAGATGCAAGTGGTCTCAAAAGTGTGTATATCTTCCTTTTGTTAAAAAAAAATATATATATATATAACCCCACAATTTTAGCCAACTTAATTATTTAATCAAGGTCTATTCTATTGGGATTTTAAGAGAAGAATACAAGTCTTTTAAACTCTCTTTAACTATTTCAAACAAAAACTCTTCTTTTAATAGAGTAACAACAACTCTCTTTAATTAGTTGAAGAAAACCATTAAGATATAAACCATTGGCAACCAAATTGTAGGTTAAATTTTCGTTATTTATTCTTTGCATTGGCAATTTATCTCGCACGCATTGTTTGGAAACGAATGTTGTGTTGTGTTAAGGAGTGTAACCACTGCCTTAACTTTCTTCATAACAAAAGGATTACCAACAAAAAATAAAAAGAGTTCTCCATACGAAACGGGTCAAAGTTCAAAATGGGCATCACTATGATCTTTGTTATCACTTGTTGTCAAGATACAAGAAGAAATGAGTATGAGATCAACTACTCTCCTTAATCAATATAATTTCTCGTTTTCAAGTTTGTATCCTGGATTGCAACACGGGCCACAATTTTTTTGGGCTGGTGTTAGTAAGCACAAGAGAAGTTGGGAACCGAATCAATTTTGATACCCATGTGTTAGTTTTCGAACAGATCAAACAAACACTCAGACACGAATCAAACGAAACAAGCATTTCTTGAAAAAGGAACTTTATAGTACAAGATACAACACATTCCCTTTGGGAATGATATGAACAACATGTTCCAGTCAGTACTATAAAACACAAGGTACAATCCTACAAGCCTTGATGAAACTTAACTAGAAGTATGTCAACTAGTTCAAACCACAACTAGTTCAAACCAAGTTTACTAGGATCTAGGAAGTTATCCGTACAAAAAAAGATGAACTCATCCCCAGCCTACAAAAGGAAGCCGCGGATGTCCACCCTCTGGAGGAGGCATTAGGGATGGAGGTAGATTGCTCCATGACGTTCCCGTATGATCTCTGACCACCACATCTGTGAAGCATAATGAGGAAAAGTAAGCACTAGAACTAAAGCATTAACTTCAGGAGTCGGACTAGCTCACATCTGAAGTCGAGTTTGTGAAAAACAAAAACGAAGACACCAACGGTCAACTAGCAACATACAATTTGAAGTTACCTGGCAAAGAGCTGCCTCCAACCGACTGATTCTCTTGAAAAGTCGAAGATTGATTAGTATCGATCAAAACTGTATCCTGCTGATTGTTATTGGGATGAATGTATTTACAAGAATCACCATATGAGCAAGATCCCTAAAAATCCATGCCAAGGAAAACATATAAATCCGCAGAAACAAAACATTTTTTTTTACAATGCGGCGTTCTAAACTAGTCTAATCTGCGATAGGGTGATTTGAACTTAAGTCCAATGGGGCGGGCACACTGTCATGCCAACTGGCCTAACCAACACATGCATATGCATTTCTAAACAAACACAAACACGAACTCAGTTTATCCGTCCTCTTATGCCGAAGTTTGTTGTAACCGCCCTCTTGTGCCAAAGTTCAATATATTTAGTTCAAACTAAAATATCGAATCGTTAAAAAAATATGAGATAATTGTTGCCTTTTATTTCGGTGACGCTCAGGCCTGTCAAAATGACATAACATGAGACATTGGTAGTGTTGGACATAAAAACAAGTTCATGAAAATCACTTGCCAACACATTCATCAGTTTGATGAAATCAAGGTAACCAGTACAAAGTGGAAGGCTTAGTTTCGAGGCATAAAAAATGCTTTGGTTTTCAAAATCTGATGCAACTTTAGAACAAGACAGCTTCGTCACGCATGACATAACCCGTCAATTAGAAATCAAACGTTTCCTCTTCTACACTAATCTACGGGGAGATTTGCTACTTCCTACTACAACGACAGGGAACTTAGCCCTTCAATAAAATCTCACAAACAGACCTCGATTACGCGGAAATACGAAATCACAGAACATTGGTACATTGGTACATTGGTCTGTCTACTAGGAATACAGATACAGATACATATTTTGATAAAAGCTGGCGTTCGTCTTCTATGCGAAGCTACAATCTTCGGCGATACAGGGAAGAGGTACGGTACTCATAAATACCCTTTGAGGTTCGGACATGACAAGATTGAATAGAACACATCTAATTTTACAAAACAAAGTCATACAATGAGGTAGATTAAATAAGACGGACACAAATAGCAGGCCAGGTAGAAGAGAACACATAGCTTCAATATGGGACACGCATGGGGTTACTCACATTTCACAAACTAATCGGATGCCAAGAACGGGACTTGCTTTCGCACGTGTTCTGGAACCAATTTCATCAAAGTTTCCGCAGGCACTCCCTTCAATTCTAATTGATAGCACACGCAACATCAAAAAGTAAGAAATTTGATCGAAGGCTTGGAGAAGGAAAACAAATTGTCTGAGAACAATATCATACCATGTGATTTAAAGTTGAATAAAGGCGGAAGGAAGCGTCCATTCGGCAGGCGGGTGTTTGGGTCGCGAAGATCATCAAAGAATGAGTGGACCAAGGCATCCAGCTGCATACGGACACACGATTGAAATTTTATTTATTTATTTTCCAGAACCATGATTGAAAATAAAGGGAATTTTACTGAATTTTCTTTTAATAGCACATATTTATCAGAGTTAATTTTTTAATAAGAAAGGTAAATCCGCGAAAATTAACTATTTGGACATGAAAAAAAAATTAAAAACTTAGTACTCACAGCTGTGCACCGCAGGTTAGGAGAGTATTGCAGCAGTCTTGAAACCAGATCAACAGCTTCTGGAGGCATACGCTTGTGGAATATCTAAGAAAATAACAGATATAATATGCTATCTGGTGAATGAAATATAATATCATACATAATATCTTCCATTATATTACCTTGTGCCACGGGTGAGCTTTGATTTGAGGAAATTTGAACTCTGTATAGTTAGGGTTCATGCATTTGATTTCCTCCCGTGTTGGAGTGCCCAAAACCTACCAAGAGAAAAAGCAACACATATATCACTACCGTGATAAAAGACTAACGTTCAAGATTCCATGAAAACACCAAGTAAAAAGAGTAATCCATATCCTTAGATTAAATAAGATTTAACTACTGCCAAAACGATAATAATGATGAATTACCTTGATAATCTCAACAAGCTGGTCAACTCCACTCTCACCAGGAAAGAGAGGCTGATGCAAAAGAAAACTCTGTTGTATTAGAATGGTACTAAACATATATTTCATAAAATGCAATAGTCAAAGCACGTACCTGTCCGAGCAATAGCTCAGCAAGAACACACCCAACAGACCAAACATCAATAGCTGAAGTATACTCAGTTGCTCCAAATATAAGTTCCGGTGCTCTATAATATCTAGAGCAGATATAAGATATATTTGGCTCTCCTTTTACCTGCACAACAATAACACTAAGGATATATGCCAATACAACAGAAGCAAACGCCACGATGAGTATCATTGAAAGAGAAAGGACACCAAAAACAACAAAACATACCAAAACTTTGGCACTTCCAAAGTCGCACAACTTTACTTGGTGGGTATGTGGGTTCACCTGCACAAAATAAGAACCAAATTTTATACCTTTTCTGTTTAT